TCAACGGCACCAACGCCCTGAATATCAACGTGGTTAGAATGATCGTTAGAAAGCTCCGCTGTTGGAATTGGAGTAATATGTAATGTTTTGCTAAGATCTATGGGTTCATCGGCTAGTGATGGAGGTGCATTGTCGTCTAAGAGGCTTGGTTTACTATCCTTTTGAGAATCACCTATAGGGATTTAATAGGAGAAAGGATATCGTTAATAACGCAAACCTTCTTACATGTAATATCTCCTAAAGAGTTTGCATTATCATCGAAGCTACCAAGGAGCAGATCTTTCTCTTTAAGGATAGTTCTCCTAGTCGAAGGCCTTTTAATAGGTACACAAGTCGGGGCTTGTACACGTCCAGTTAACACTTCTACAGCTGCACCAAGTGGAACTAGCTTTTTCCCTTTTTTATTAACTGATGCTGGTCCTAATATTGCTCTCTCCGCAATGCTAGTATCAAATGGATCATCCCCTTCAAGTTCATTTGTTGGTGATTCTAAAATTGCACTATAGTCAATTGAACAATTGCTGTTTGTAATGCTTACCAGGAATATACGCTAATTTTACTTCTCCAGCTGCAATAGCATCGATGTAAGTTGTATCAAAAATATCCTCTTCATCTTCTTCTTCGCTCTCAGTTTCAGAAACTTGAACAATTCCCGGTTCCTCGACCTTCGCCGCCTCTTCTTGTTTGATTTCCTCGGTGTTTTGGCAGGCTTCTTCTCGTTTCTTCTTTTGCTCACTTGGAGGAGGAACGCGTTGAAAGAACGATGTGCTTTTAATACGATCTAAGTCGTCTAAAATTAAATTTCATTACAAATGGAGTATGTGCAATAAGGCACCGGCGCATACCTTGAGTTTTTTTTAAGAAGTTATCGATACCAGCGGTGATTGCGTTAAACTTTTTCCATTCGTCATTTGCTGTTGCCGGTTCTCCCTGTTCAACTTGATGTTCTCTACGGTATGCCTCTAATTCTTCTGGTTTAAATAGTTCCTCGTCTTTATGCTTAGATTTTTTCCCTTTCTTTTTCTTTTTGAGGCCTTTTGTTATTTTGTGCATTATCTACTCTAAGTTGAGGCATTGATGCTTCTGCAATGTTCATGTTAATTTTAGGTACGTACAGTCACTGGTGTTTACTACATTATTTTCTATCGATTTGATTTAATAAATGGTTAGTGTTAGATAAGGAGTTTGACAACTGATAAAGTTGCGGGGAACCTTATCACTATTAATTAACTCGAAGTGGACGTGGAAGTAATGTGTTCATTTTTGTTGACTTTAGTGTAATCTACAAAGGTAAATCAAACTGCACGCATAACTAGGATAATTTGGCAAAGCTTAATGGGAACAACAAGGTGCAATACGAACCTTATGTAACGCTTCTATTCAATATCAATTTTCAATATATTGAACTTTTCAAAGTGTTTAGTGCTTTCTTTGGAAAAGAACACGTGAACTACTGGTCTATTTCTAACAAATCTAAACACTTTTATTATTCAGCAAAAGAACCGACGGAAATATGTATGGCGTCGCGACGATTAGCGCCGTCATCGTATTGATCCGGCAGGCGCCTGTACGTCATGTTCCCGATAACTCAAATACTCTAATACGAAACGCATCCAATCCGGACAATAACGCGGACTTGAATCAAATCCTATGCATTTTATGCAGGATTGTGTTTTTACAGGGGAGCACAACCCGCGCTGATTATATGTATATGATTTTAAGGGCAGAAAAAATTATAAACATTTGTAGTGGAGTGCCTATAATAATTCATTTCGCATTTACCGTAAAAAAGCACACCACTTACGTATATTTTGAAAAATTTATTGATGCACATAAATACACTTACTTTATGTCTACATCCAGTAGCACATTTTATTATTCCACTTTATTGCGACATTATTACACTCAACTGGAAAACCTTTCAATTTTAAGAGTTAAGACGATTCTAAAAGGAAATGATGCGAAAACGAAAATTTGGGTAATACGAAGTATTGATTGTGCGCGCAGCTGACAATTCGTGTCTGAGTGCCGGTTGGGAAATCGGATGGCAGGATTGGATAACAAATATTTTCTGAATTTTCCGAGCACGCTGTCCAAATACTTCGAAACGTCATCAGTAGATTGTCTTCATTATATTTTCCTATTTTTTCCTCTTCTGCAGTGAACCGTATTCTTATTTTGGGCTGGCGCTTTGCATACTCAAAGGAATGTGATCTCCTTATCTCCTAAAAATATTTGGTTCGGGAAAAACGCGACTAGTGTATCTATGTCCAAGTAGAATTATAAGGGAATTTCGCACCTGGAATTTAGAACATTTTACCAGTAAATCTCATCGTCATAGTGTATATGGGCACCTCTAAAAAGCTTATGCGGGTCACTCTGTAATGGCCTAGAACAAGAGGGACAAATAAATAAAAAAAATTATCAAAGTCCTCGTGTGAGATCGAAGGGACTTCAGCGCATTTTTGTGTGGCAGATCAGTATTCTATTAGCCACTGTTGACTCAACCATGAATAAAAGATCTTGTCGAAGGATACCACATTCCCTTTGACGGTACCCACTTCCGATGTCCCGTTCACCCGCAATTCGCGTTTGAAGATTTGACTCCTCCGCCATCAGTTAGATCTTGTCGGAGGCTACCACATTTCCTTTTTCGGTGCATACTTATATTACACCCACATTTTGGTGGATCTCGCTAAAAACCTTTCACAAGATAGTACTTAATTTTTGGCACTTCTCATTGCTCGAGCTTCTATTGGCGACACGAGAAAGAGAGACAGCCATTCGAGATTTACGAAACGTTAAAACGCGTGACAGAATTCGCAACGGAAGGTAAAAGGTGCCCGAAGGTGACTACCTCTCGAAGACGCGCGCGCGCGCCTTGCAAAAAGTCGTTAATTTCGCCCCTAGGCCAAAAAACAAAATTCCGCCACGCAGGAGTTGTGCGCGTTTACAACATCTTTCCGACGACACCAATTTGAAAAGAATCGGACCAAAACTGTAGTAAAAGATAGGAAAAAACTGAAAAACCTTCACGTTAGTATACTACGCTCGAGGATGACGCCCAGATGTCGCCAACCCCACATCATGTAGCCCTGTCCACAAGGTTTACAAATTCCACGGCCTTGTAGATACACGTACACCCGTTGCCTTTCTACAAGAGTTCTTCTACGCGCCCACATTTGCTGCCAGCCAGCCGACCAGCCGGCCAGCCAGCCAGCCAAAGTGAGATTAAAAGCTACTTTTTACAAATAAATTTGCAAAAATGCGCTAATAAGAATACGATTCGGAATTTTCACTCTGGAAACATTCGCAATTCAGAAAATTATCTCACGGTGCACATTACATTGCATTACTCCAAAAAGCGAAAACTCCGGAACATTCGCTTTCGTAAATCATTCCGTTGTACCCTCAACCTCAGAAACTTGTCCCAAGGGAATTGCACGTTCAGGAGAATCATATTTTTGTCCTTAAAGGAATTCACTATTCTATATGCTACGTACTGTTTACTGTTTCCTTTAGAGCTTTTGAGAGTGGAATATTTCTCGCGGGCGGATTTTAATTTACATTGAATTTCTTGAAGGGCGTTGTGAGATGAATATTCTGAGGGGAATTTTCAAGTGGCAATTATTCCTGAAGCGAATTTAGTGGGTAGCTAATATGTTGGGGGGAAGTCTTTCGGCGAGTTTTCCGGAACAATTTGATCATAAACGGTGAAACGCACCCATGCTCCTGGAAAATTACTCCGTTATAGTATCGTCTTCACCCTAATGCCTGGGTGCCTGGGTCAGCTTATCGGTTGGCCACTTACTGCGTCTGTCCAAAATCTGTCGCAGAAGGACTGTTTGAATAATATAAGAATCTTGACAAGTGAAGATCAATGTACGAACACCATAAATTATCTAAGGACTACGGTTCACTATCTAAAATCTAAATTACTATTTAACTGCATCTGTATATAATGTGTAGGTACATAAGGCAAAAGGATATAGTAACTAACGCTTCCGGAGTTCCCCTTCTGAAGAAAATAAATGTCTAGCAATTTTTATAGAGTATAAAATCTAAACTGCAACAGGACGATTGCGCGCAAAAATTGCATAGGAATGAAATTTATATTCTAAAACTTGCAACTTATTATACATCCAAATTAGTCTCAACAACAGTGTGAATTTCGCTTAGCACTAATGGGACATCCTGTACAGGCAATTCACCGTCCCCCCAATTTGCTTTGTTGTTCCGCTTCTTTTTAAAACTTTATTATGTGCAATCTGTGTGTATTTTGAAATATTGCGGTCTATTTTCTAAAAACGAGCAAACATTGTGAACAATTTTTCTTGTTTGAATTCCACATTTTTATTTTCGGTTTGAATCGGGACGCCATTTCCGCTTTCCGGTAGTGGTACTACTGATTAATTTTTTAT